TGTTATTGATAAATATATATATATATATATATATATATATATATATATATATATTGGCACACAACCAAGTGGTTGTGGCATTTTATGATTTTTTTTCTCTCTACCTTGGTAAAAGAAAGCAACTGAATTAGGATGGAGGAAGCAAATCCCTTCCAACTAAGATGTCAGGAAGAAGCTTAAAGATAGACTCCTGTAACTTCTCTTGATTTGGTGCAATGCACTTGACAAATAGGGAAAAAAACTGTTTATCGAGTAATGTGCTTAGGTTAACATCCAGAAAATCAGAAAGCATGGCTCTTGCATTGCTGATGATTGTTGTGAGATGCCACGGATATAAACATCTTTCCTCTTGAACAGGTTGATGGTACTAATGGAATCACCATAAATAGTGAAATCTATCAAACTAAAGATCTATTGCAAGTGTAGGCTAATTTGGATTTCATAAGCTTCTGCTTCATCTGATGATGCATCAGAAGGGGATGGATAATGACAGCAATTAACTATTTTTCTTCTCACACTTGTTTCATTCACCTTTTTGACAGTTTTGTAGTGACTAACAAACCTGGTGATGGAAAGCGCTTTATCCATACTCTTGCAAAGGTACAGAAACTTGATCTGAATGAAGCTTTTGACTAGTTTATGCTTGGTCGTGTAACAAAGTTTGGAACATACATATATAATTTGCAGGAGAAACATGATCTTGCTGAAAGAGTGATGGTGACCCGCCTTCACTTGTATGGTAAATGGATTAAGGTATGCTTAAGTTTCTACTTGCAGGAAATTTGTTACTTTAAATAATCAACTCACTTGTCTTGCCTCTCTTGACAATACAGAAATGTGATCATGGTGCAATTTATAAGGAGATCTCAGATCAGAACCTGGAATTGATGCGCGAACGACTCATGGAAACTGTCATATGGCCATCTGATGATACAAACACCCCAGAGAAGATTGGGTGATGGGTTACCCGCTTACTCTGATACCACATTTATGTTGCTCTTCTTCCCTTTTCACTTCCAAAATAACAATAGATACTTACATTTAGCCCAACAAATTAGGTTTTAAAAGATTTTATTTGAATTATTTTCCACAATCTAATAAGAAATGTTGCACAATTTCTTGTACAAGTAAATATATCAAGTTACCAACACAAAGGTAATAGATTGGCGGCTTAATCTTCACTCTATTTCCCATTAACTATTGCTAATAATACAGAACAGACAACATGAGGTACCTGTATTTTCAATTTAAGCAAGAACTTGAGATGTCTACATGCTTTTATGGCTAGATTTATGGTTCTTAGTGGTATAAGCAATGTGACTGAGAATCTGACCGATGGGATCGGCTACATAAATCCAGTTTGGCCATTCCATTCTATTTAGTGTCATATACATTGTTAAATTATAAGCGCATCAATCATTTTTTACTGCTTCAACCCATGACTGTTTTGGTCTGCCCCTAATCCTTGTAGCCCCTTCCATTTGCAGAAGATCGCTTCTTCTTACAGAAGCTGTAGATGGTCTTCTTACAGGGGACTGGCTAGTGCTTTTGGTTATTTTGGGAGTGATGTATTATTTAACATTGTTGATTCTGGTAATGATTTCAACTTGGCTATAGAAGGTTTGAATTGGTACTTCTGCAGTGCTGCATTCTTATAAGGCTTAGGCCCCATATGGCATTGTTCCTGCCTGTTTCTGTTCCCGGAGAAATTCCTGTTCCAGAACAGGAATTGAATTTCTGGTTCTTGGGGAATAACACTAGTGTTTGGCAATTTGTTCCTCAGGAGCAAGTTTCTATTTTAAAGAAACAGAAACAATGTTCTTGTTTAAATACGCTATTGAATCTTAAGAAACAATGTGGATGGTTTTTCAAATCCATCCACATACAAAGCATGGATTTGAAAGCAACGATTGTTTGCAAGAAAAACAATCATAAGGAGCGAGGGGCTCTTACCTGTGAGGCGGAAAAACGTGAAGGAACGATAGTTTGCAAGAGAAACAATTGTTTGAATGCAACGAAAATGAGTAAACAAAACAACAAAGAGATTAGCCTAGGTTGTTGAAAGCAAGAAGAAATTATAGAGTAAAGGAACGATTGCAAGGAGTGATGGGCTCTTACATGTGTGGTAGAAAAACATGAAGGATTGGTTGCAAGAAAAACCCAGGCAGCCTGGTTGAAGCTCTACAATAGGTTGGGAGTCCCTTGGTGGTAGGAAGAAGGAAGAAACCCCACTCAACTTCGCTTTGGGCTTTCTTAGTATGTGTTTGGTTCCGTAGGCGTTTATGGATAGGCCGTTTATTTGTACTTGTTCACTTTAAGCATTAATTTATACTTGTCACATTAAATGTTTCCTATTTTTGTTATTTGGTTGGACTTTACTTTAAAACATTTTTTACTCTCCACCTCAGATTAATACCCATTAAAATGTGCCGCATGAGCATTTGGTTTCAAGAAATACTGGGGCATTGGGGAAAACAAGAATTTGACGTTTCCTTAAATGCCTCATGCACAAAAATCAAAGCGTTTCAGTTTTCTACCATTTATTTGATAAATGGTGAAACCAAACAGTTGTTTCATTTTGCTTCATATGCAATAAATGCCAACACCTATGTGGCACTGATGTAATAGCATTTTTTTCAATAAACAGGTACAATAGCAAATACAACTTTAAAGATGATGTCTTGAGAACTGCGTGTTCCCAAGTTTCTCATTTTGTGGAGTTACGTCCTGGTCACTCCAAAAATACAAGTTGGGAATGCATCGTTCCCACCTAAAATGTCATGCCAAACGTGTTTCCATTCCGCAGGGACGTCAACAACGTGAGGAATACTCCCGTGGAATGATGCCAAATTGATTTAAAATAGAAATGGGATCAGAGAAAAAAATCTCAATTTTGAAAGGCGTTGTTTGTCTCAAGCCCAAGCCCGGTCCATTGGAAACAAGCCTGAGATTCCCTTTTCATCATCTATTCTTTTGGCAACAAGCCTGTAAGTTTTTTCCCATTGCAAGCTTTCTATTTCAGCTTTCAAGCCAAAAGCGATAGGTTTTATGGTAATGGATCTTCACATCTGGGGCTAAACTTTTAGACCTAGTATTCTAGATCTTCTAGATCTTAGATTTGGTTAAAACTTATTGAAAAAGCTTTCTATAAAACCTAGTGCCTGTTTGGCAAGTCTTTTCCAGAAGATCTGTTACAAGATTTGATGGTTAAAAGATAGGATAAGCTTTTGCAAATAGATCTTGGAAGACTAAAGACTGTTTGGTTGAAATATTTCACATAGATCTTACAAAAGATAATAAAAGCTACAAGACCGTTTGTTAATGTGAATGTCTTGTGTGTGGGCCAACAAACCTATCATTTAACACGTGGGACCCACATACATTTTCTAAGGTGAGACTCACATACCATTGGTGGACATGTATGTGGGGCCCATGTACATTTTACAAGGTGGACCCGACATACCATTGGTGGACATGCATGTGGGGTACATGTGTCGACATGTATGTGGGGCCAACGTACATTTTACAAGGTGTGCCCATCATACCATTGGTGGCCATGCATGTGGGGTCCATGTGTGGACATGTATGTGGGGCCCACATACATTTTACAAGGTGGGTCCCACATAATACCTAATGTGGGCCCCACATACATTTTCCAAAATGGGCCCCACATACCATTGGTAGGTCCCACTTACACATTCAAATAGTTTTTGTGAAAAGATAATCCATTTTCTCCCAAGTGTGTGCATCGTACCACACGTTCGAAGAAGACGGGGCACTAAAAGATTGTAAAAGCTTCATTTGAAGCTTCCTAAAAAAGCTCAGATTCGGGCTTCTGGCATCTTTTATGGGCTAGAGCTTTTCCCGAATAGATCTTTCTATTGCCAAACGGGAAAAGCCCAGAATTCAGGCTTCCAGGCTTCTAAACAGCCCAAAGCCCGCTCGGAAAGGCTTGCCAAACGTAGCTCTAATCTCAATAAATATTCCATCAAGAGCTAGGGTTTCGGGCCTAATATACATTTAGGGTTCGACTATGATATGAAAAAAAATATGATATCTAAAAAACTTCTGACCAGTCAACTGCAATCATAAACGTGATAGTCAATTAGGTGTTATTTATCAAAATTCATGGGTGGGTTTTGATTGGTCAAAACTCTTCCCGTACCATATCTTTTTCGCATCATAAATTTTCCCGTACATTTAAATCTGGATCTGCTTTCTAGTAACTTGGATTTTCCGGTAACTAGGAGTGAAACTTTTTTAATCTTGGTGGATTCCAAACTGAATTATGGACAAATCTTTCTAATCTGCGCATAATACTTTGGAATGTTAGGGGTTGTAATAACCCAAATACGATGCGATATCTCAAGTAATACTCTCAACCCTGATATTCTATTCCTATCGGAAACCAAATTGAGCGAGAACAAAGGAGCTGCTCTTGCTAAGAGATTGAAATACCAACATTATGTGAAAGTCTATGCACAAGGCAAATATGGGGGTTTATTCTGTTGTTGGAAGGTTGACTGTTTGCTCACAGTGTTGCATAAGAATGAAAGGCTCATTTTATGTGAAATTGCAAATGCAACCTGCCAACAATGTTGGTATATTGCCTTTACTTATGGACACCCTAATAAACCCAAATGGACCCAGTTGTGGTCCTCCTTTCTATCTCTAAGTTCTCTTCAGGATGCAAGGTGTTGTGTGGTGACTTGAATGATACCCTTTATAATCAAGATTTTGTGGGTCATAGACCTCGACATCACACCCCATCCCAATCTCTCACCCAAGTGGTAGAACATTTTAATCTTTCAGAAGTCCATAGTAGAGGGCCCTACTATACTTGGTCGAACAATCAGCATGGCCAAAATAGGGTAAAGGAAAGGTTAGACAGATGCTTAGCTTCTCCAAAATGGCTTCGGTGTTTCCCAGAGGCTAATGCTTTTACTAAATTTTCCTTATATTCTGATCATGCAATGATCATTTTAGAGACGCACTCCAAAAAATTAAAGGGACCCACTTAGTTCCATTTCCAACCAATGTGGGCTGAGGAACAAGAATGTGAAAAAAGAATTACAGAAGAATCCCCCCCCCCCCGGAACAGAGCCTCATTTGGTTACATCAATGATAGACTAAAGCTTTTGGAGGAGAAAATGATAGCTCTTGAAGCAAAAAAATCTGATCCCACATCTTCAGAGGAATTCATTATTTTGCAAAGAGATTATGAGAAGTGGCTTAGGAGGGAGGAATTATTATGGAAATTAAAATCAAGTTTGGTTAAAAGAGGGTGATCGCAATACTAAATATTTCCATCACATGACAAATTTTAGGAGAAGAATAAACTACTATGAGGGGATTAGGGATGTTGAAGGGAATATTCTCTCAATTGATGAAGTACCTGGAGCATTCAGAAGATTAGCAGAGTCAATAGCTGGACAAGAGCCACTGATTTCTTTTGCTGAGTTGGAACAATTACAGCTCCCCATCCTAACCCATGAACAGAAGGAAGATTTAAAAAGAGTGCCATCCAGAGAAGAAGTTTGGGAAGTGGTTAAGAAAATGAAATCAAATTCGGCTCCTGGGCCTGATAGTTTTTCCCCTTTTATAAAAAATATTGGCATATAATAGGGGACGACATATATGAGATTGTGGCCCATTTCTTCAATACAGTTGAATTCCCTCATGATATAAAATGTACTAATTTGGTGTACATTCCTAAGAAAAAGAAGGTTGAGAACATCTCTCAATTCAGGCCTATTAGCTGTTGTAATGTGGTTTACAAGATAATTACAAAATGCCTTGTAAATCAACTACTGAACAAATTACAAGATTTGGTAGCAAAAAATCAAGTTGCTTTTATAAAGGGTAGACAAGGCCTGGATAATATTATCTTGTCTCGTGAGTTGATTATCAAAATGAAAAGGCATAAGAAAGGAGTTGGATGTGTAGCAATTAAAGTGGATATGTCAAATGCCTATGATAGGTTGAATGGACATTTCATTATAAAAGTTCTTCAACTCGTGGGTTTCCCAGAACACTAGTGTAAACTCGTACAATAGTGCATCTCCTCTCCTTGTTTCTCGGTTAAGGTGAATGGAGTTGTCTCAGATTTACTCCAACTCAAGGCAGGCATTAGACAGGGTGACCCTTTTTACCATTTCTCTTTATCTTAGCTATGCAAGCCCTATCCTCTCTTCTATTTTAAGCAGAAATCCAAGGCACTTTAAAGGAATTTAAGCTTACAAGACAGGCCCCCCAAATAACTTATCTGCTTTTTGTAGATGAATTTAATTTTTTGTAGGGCTGAAGTAAAAATGTTACAAAACCTACAAGAGATTATAACCAAGTTTGAAGAATTCGCAAGAGAGAAAGTGAACTTACAAAAAAGTTCAATCTTATTTAGTAGCAACATACATAGAAGGAAGCGAAGATTCATCACTCAAATGTTGGATATGAAACAAATGTGGATAGGAAGAAGCAAAACCAAGGCATATAAAGACTTGCTGGACAAAGTTAAGCAAAGAATGTCTCTATAGAAAGCATCTCTTCTTTCACAAGCGAGGGGGACTACAATGATCAAGTCAATAACCCAATCTCTCCCCATATACTCGATGTTTTCTATCATCCTTCCCAAAAAGATTACGTCTGAAATGGAAAAACTTTGAAGATTCTTTTGGTGGAAAGGAAACTTAATAACAAAACTTTACATACACTAAGTTGGGAGAAAATGTGCAGATCAAGGAAGAAAAGAAGACTTGGATTTAGAAAGTTAAGTGAGATGAATGAGGCATTGTTTGCTAAACAAATTTGGAGGTTTCTAATAGAACCTAAGAGATTGTGGGTAAGGGTTATAAAGGAGAAATATTTGCAGAAAGGCTCCATTTTCACGATGCAACCAAAGCAAAATGATTCCCTATGGTGGAAACAGATCTTGGCCACAGCCAAAAAGTTGAAATTTGATTTCATTTGACAAATAAAGGATGGTAGAAATGTTAGTGTCTTTCATGATCCTTGGATTCCATCTGTTCATGGGGGATATACAACACCATCCTCCCTTTTTACGTGGTGAATGGAATAGGCAAGCTTTAGACCAAGTGTTAGATGCTGAGGTGGTGAGGGAAGCGTTGAAAATACACATTGCTTTTCATGTAACAGCAGACCAAGTGTAGTGGAAGCACTCTCGATGTCATAAATATTCTATTAAGTTCGCATATCAGTGTTTCACAAGGAACTATCCTTCATCTTCTTCTCATACAGTTAAATGGAACAACATATGGGCCTTGAGAATCACTTTTAGGTTCCAAATGTTCATTTGAAAAGTTTTTTGAGAGGCAATACCCACAAAAGACAAGTTGTTTTTTCTCAATAATGAAGATAGGTTTTGTGTTTTATGCCAAAAGGAGCTGGAATCAGAACTATATATCTTTTGCATGGGCAATTTGGTGTGGTTTATAGTTGAATCTTTGTCTCCCTACTGATGAAAGCACCTCCATTCATGACCACATTGAAAAGTGGTTAAATGGACTTCCTACCCAAATTACAGAGTGAAAAAAATTTTTATTTGGTGAAAGTGCCATTGCGCTGAAATGTATATGGGATATCAGAAACAAGAAAATACATGAAAGTCTGTCCTAATCCAATCTGGGTAGTTAAAACTACTCACAACTACATTATTTCACTAGAGAATCCCCCACTTTAACAAATCCAGGAGGAATGGCAATCAACGTCTCCTTATACTCTGCATACAGATGATGCTTTCTCTTATTATTCTCATCGAATAGCGAGTACTTATGTTCTTCTTTACAAGATAAGAGGGTGATGGCAGCTGCAGGTAGTATTGTGCAAGCACAAGACAGTTTTTCTGGGGCTTCAAGAAGCAAAAAGAAGAAATATCAATGTCATCACTATTTTTTGTGATGCCATGGGAGTAGTCGACACCTTACATTGCAATACTGTAGATTGTATTTGGATCAATAAGTTGTATTCGGATGAGTTCTACTCTCTTACGAGGTCTTTTGATGTATGCACAGTTAAGCATGTAAATAGACAACAAAATATGCGCTAACTCATGAAGTAACTATTCAGGCCTGTAGGAGGGGTTCGGTATTGGTCTTTCAATTACACTCCCAAGGACTTGATCTATATATAATTTGAGTTTTTTCTTTTTTCAAAAAAATAACCCGGTCCATTTATACATTGGACATGAATGAAGCCCAATTTCACTTGAGACGGGCTGAACTGGAGTACATATTTGGACAATTAGGAATGGGCCCTACCCATTTTGATTGTAAGGCCTCTTACAACCATCTACTCGGAATAAATGGTGGAGCCCATGGTTTCTTTCACTTAATTATCCAACTCAAAAGGTAAAGCCAGCTCAATCTCCTTTTGGAATTTTTCTCCGTTCAAGGAGTAGGCCTAACATGGGAACACGTATTTCTATTATCCTTTTTGAAAAAAAAAAAAAAAAAAAGAAGACGAGTTCTTGATTCCTCGGCTCTCCACCATTGATGATTTGAGGAGCGAACAGCGAAGACTCGTGTGGCGTTAAAAGAAATCAGACGGTGCAGAAGTTCCCAAAAAACTATTGCACAACAATTGAATTGGAATCGTCTACGGTTCTACATGTACAAAATGGTCCAAGAAATCTTGACAACAAGATAATGCGTTGGCCCCACTCAACTAGTCGTGTCTCGACATCTCTTTCATTTGGATCGGTGCACGTCGTTGATGAGGTGTCTAATAAAAAGAGGTCCCACGACGTCAGCATGATCAACATTATAGCCGCTGCTCACTTGTATGCCACGTGTTTTATGCACCGGATGTACTTTTTGCATTTGACACGTGTACTCCAATTTCATTACAAAATCCTCCTTGCCCACCTTTCTCAAGAGTGAGTCAAGACCGAAAACCCTCATCAGATTCTCCTTCTGAATAACTTATTTTTCTTTTTCCGGCGAAGAACTCCGGTCATGGCTTGCACGGAGGAACCCATTCTCTCTCGACTGGACCGCCTCGATAACGTGGTAAGTAAGAATGAGATGTTCCATCTCTTGTTTGAGTGCCTAAAATGCGCCATGGGAGTAGTACATGGCCTCGTCCTTTTGCCCCCGACACTCTTTTGGGCCGGTGGGTGAGAGGGACTGAGATAGTCTGTCTGACTCTTCCATTTCTTCCTAAGTAGACCGAGTCAGTCTGGTCTACCTCCATGGCGCAAGATAGGGATATGCTTTGCCTCCTCCTTCTTCATTCTTCTCTCTGAATGGGCCCTAATAACCCCATCAATGCGGTTTTTCTTGGCCCATCTATCTGTTCTGAAGTTTGATCGTAATATGGTTGCAGTTGAGGCACTTGGAGGAAATTAGAGGATGTAACAGGTGTTCAAAGAGCTCGTATGAATCAGCAACATCAAGTGGGCCCTTAACGAGTGATGGAGGCAACTCCTCCGTCGATTTCTCCCCCAAGAGCCTAGAGAAGCACTGCCGTCCCATTGAGCATGTCATGATGGAGACGGAAGCCAAGGGTAGTCTCATCGAACGTATGGACCATGTGGAAGACCGTCTACTAAAGGTAGGCAAAATGCCATCCTGGCCGTCTGATCCATGACCTAAGAATTGTTGAGTTCAGCCATTCATTAAGCTAACGGCCTAATGCTCCTTGTTAATTATCTCTTATTAGCTGTGCTTGCAGTTGGAGGTAGCGAAGGAGAAGGAGAAGGAAGATGAAAAGTCTGAGAAGAAGCCCCACAAGAAGGGATTGAAGCAACTGGTCAAATCATGTGTAAAAAGAAAGCCCAAAACCAAGCACTGATGACATGCTGCTATGTAATTTTGTTGTATCACTTTTTAAAGGCTAATGTACATGGGTTTGATATATATTTTTTTTGGCTGTCAGTGCGTTGAGCTAAGGTGTCTCTCCTGTCTCTCCTTAAGTCCAATTCATACAATGTATGGGCCTAAAGGATGTGCCCAATTGTCTGATTCTAAGCTATAAAACTGTTTCATTGTTGTCGTCGTGTCAACCCAACTTTATCTAACCAGTAACCACGCCAACGCGCGCACACACACACACACACGCATGCTCAAGGAGAGTAGGAAACCCCAGAGATGAATCAACAGTCCAGAGACGAGAATTGAATATTGGGCATCCAAAATCACAGTTAATTTGAAGACAACCGGTCAAAAATAACTTAAAACTGTACAACTCACCTGACAGCGTATCGTGCCTGTTGTCTCTGAATTTTCATTGGGATCCCGATCAAACACATTTGCCACATTACACATTGTTACAAGAAGGAATAGTACAGGCCAAAAAACCAAACAAGGATAGTACTGCAAAAAATGATGGATACAAAAATCGGACTCAAAGAAAATGAATATTAGCATGGGAAGGATATCTTAGGAGAAGACTTGGCTGGTTGAATCAGAAAGATGGGCGGGGCCTTCCTTGCTCGAACAAGAAACATCAAAAAATCTGGCATGGCTTCTAAGTGAATGGAGATTGGAATTGGATTCACATGAGCTGCTGCTGCTGAATAAGCCAGAGCATCAGTCGGCCCACCATGTCCTCGTCGCTCAAAAGGGAGTTTGGTGTAATCTTACAAAACACTGATTTCGGAGCAAAAAATGTACCCGGTTGCTCTTCCTGGTATTTTTAAGATTAGTGGCCGAGGAAAGATAGGTGATCATGTCATGCTGTTGCAAGTTGTTCCAGCACTGTTCTTACTCGGAACTGCAGGACTCAAATGTTTGATCGTAATAATTAGAAGATTTGGGAAGAACAATTTAGGAATAATAATTCTCATGTTATGAGTGCAGGGTTACCTTGGCATCCAAGCATGGGTCGTTAACCATACTCTTTATCTGAGAAACTATGCCAGCACTCCGCAGCTTCACAATGCGAGCAGATGCACCGGGACTTTCTGGGTGGGTGAGATTTACTATGCACCATACAGCAGCGGTGCGTAGCTGACCATCACTGTCCTGCAAAAACTTCATGACAAAAGATTGGGTGCCTTCGCCTGCTTGAGATTGAAAGAGTTGGTTCATCACGGCTTCTTTATGTAACTCATTTCCACTTGCTACGTTGCTGAGCACGTACATTCCCTACATGACAAATGGGTTGCATGGCACATCAGAAGCCAGAAGAAAAACAGATTAAATCCTTTGAGGTCTTAGGACCTTCCCCTTTTCACAATAGGAGAGAGGTGAAGAGAATCCTCCTTAACGTTTCATTTCTCGAGCACATCTTCGTAAAACTAAATAAATCTTATTAAAAGGTACTAATCATATAGCACAAAGGCAAGATGAGAAAAAAAATGATAACCTGAATGCAAACTTCTGATCTTGAACAGCTTTGCAGTTGCCTTGCAACAGCATTCATAATAATACCATCCTCTGCAAATACATGTTCAATTGAGCTGATGCGTCCATCAACAAGATTGCGGACAAGTGCTAGACTTTGTTCTTGGATAGATAGCTCTGAGTCTGTAGTGTAATGCAATTTTTTTTATGCCATAGCGTAATGCAATTAGAAAGTTTCATTTATCCGAATACATATTGAACTGCTATTAAGCATGAATAATCAATGAAACATGAAGATAATGTTACCATATATAAGGCTGACCAATCCAGATGGTGTCAACTCCAGAATAATGCCTTCTTTGTGACTGTTGTCCGCATGAAACATCAGATTCCTTAAAGCCCATACAGCATTTAACCTGAGAGTTGAATCCATTGATTTCGTTAGCTGAATAAGCTGTCTCACACCTCCACATTGGATGAAAACTGATTTACGGCTTGCAAAATCAATTACTATGTTGCTAATAGCACCAAGAGCGGCAACCTGGAAAAATATATTATCGTTGAGGTAGATCAGAAAATATCCCAAATTTCTAAAGCACTAACCAGGAAACCTCTTTTATATACTTCTAATGTCACATATACTTCCATCATTCATGGAAAAATTTCAGCCAAAATACCCTGCAATGTGTTTAGCATAAAGTCTTCCTTCTAGGCATCTTTTTTATCCATAACCATGTTTTGTATTAAATGAAAACCAGAAAACTTCCCTTATATCTTGAAAAAGATACAGAGAGAAATACAAGCAACAAAAGCTGGAAGAAACCACTATTTTAGTACAAAGAAGAATGAACTGAATCATTACATCGCCCCATAACTCTTACTAGGCATCCTTCTTTTTTTTGAAAAAGTAAAGTATCCTCGTATTAAAGGGAGGGAGAGTTTCCCTCCAAAATCAAATCTTCACAAAAAGAGGGCTGCTTACTAAACCCAGGATATAGGTGATCTGTTGCCATTGTACATTAGCCAGATGAAACTGCAAAATCATGGTTCACTATAATTTATTGCCATTGGTTATACAGAGGTCCCCTCCAAAATCGTTATAGGCATTTTTCTAGTACAAAAGACTTGAAATTTTGGATGCCATTGTTAGTATGTGGCTGATGTGAGCCAGGGAAGCAAATATGTGGCCAATCCAGATGGTCCATAAAATTTACCCACAGGCTCCTGTTGCTATCCTCTATTAGTGGGGTAAATTCAGCCCCAAAACCCTTGTCACGTGGTCAAAATAAACTCTGCATTTTGGACAAGTTTAAGATTAAAATATTAGAAGTTTCAACAGACAATGTTACTAACAAAAAGCAGGGCACTGGGCTGACGTGGACTAAAGGACTGAAGAGGTGATTGATTCAGAGGATCGAATAAATGGCTCCAAGTGGCCACATCATCCCTCCACATGAGAAAGAAAAGACAAGTCATGTAGGGAAAAGCTCTCCACTTGACCAGATTAGTGAATGTTTTTCTACACATGCACACATACATGTATAGGATCAATCTTTTTCTCATGCTTGACAGCCTTGTATATATCCAATTTAGTAATTATAAAAATAGTATAAAATATTACTTAATACTTAATATAACTACCTGAATTGATGTAGAAGAGTCATGTAAAAGATGAAGCAAGGGAGTGATGATAGTTTCATTCATAAAACGACCTGCACTCAAATTCTGAACATCATCTCATTAGCAAAATATTAGCAAATCATTAAGAATTTTAAATATAAAAAGTCAGTATTCATGCAAACCTTAACTGACCGAGAGATGTTTCTTATACACAGGCAGGCCACAGCCTGCACCTCTGCATTCTCATGACTTAGTGCATCAATTACCAAGTTCAAAACCTATTCCATTAGAAATGAGTTAGGGATGGCAAGGGGAAAATAAATATTGATGTATTACTACTACAACCTTGGATCATCTTAAAGTAACAGTACATCATTTATTTAGTCACAGATGATCACTTTGATATTTTCAAGTGAAAATAAACAGCCTAGATAATGGAAAAAACTGAAGGAGAAAAGTTCTAAGCAGCAATAACCTTGATTTCCTTAGAGTTAATTAAACTTTTGTTTTCTCCATAGGATGCATTTGTCTTGATATAAGAAAGTGGAAAACAATGTTTTCATTGTAGATGGAGTGGAATTAGATATTGAAAAATTTCCCACCCCTTTAAATTGAAACAAAATTCAGCCATGACGGTTTTGGAGGTTAACTTGTAACAGAAAAAAAAAAAAGCCTAAATACTGCCCAAGAGAAAAGAAAAAGAGATTGGTCAACCTTCTGGTCATATGATGCAGTCAGAGTAGGTTAAAGCCCCTAGGCATAGGCATGAGTACACACAAGACTCCCAGGTTGCCCTTGGGCCCCAAACATGTAGAGGTCTTCATGTTAAGCCTAAGAAAACTATTCTTGCTATTCAGCATCCGTAGTACCCAGAGTCCATAACCAACAGCTTTAGGAGGTGTTTGGTTTGTGGTTGTATTTGTGTTTTGTTTGGTTCATGAATGCAACCACTGTTCTGTATCCTATCTGTATGCTTATTGCTCGTTCCGGAACCAGCAATAATGGTTCCAAAACCAATAGCATCCCTATTTTTCCAAAGCAATGTTAGATAGTTTTTGAAAAGCATGCCGATGTCATCCAAATGATTCGGTGTATCACACTCACACCGTATTCCCATCCTTGCAATAGGAAACCATGACCATCATCAGTGGTGGAGCCAGGAATTTTCTCGGGGGGGAGGGGGGGGGAAGAGATGGGGGAGAATGGAGAATGGAGACCAGGTGAAATTTTATATAGTGCACCTACGAGAAGTATTGTCCATCTCAAATCCAACCTAAAAGTTCGGTTTGAAGTTTCTCTTTAAGGTTAGGGTTGAAAATATGAACCCTATTTAACTTCAGGTTGGACTAAGATCGAGGTATTGTCCAATCCGACCCTACAAAATAAAGTAAATAAGTCATTCCAATTCAGGCCTAACCTGAAAATCCAATCCAAACATATAGGATTGACCTGAAAAAATTAATAATGGATTAGGTTAAAGTTAGAATTGGGGTTTCAACAAATCAAATTGGGTCAGGGTTGAGATCAAGTAACTTGGCTCCACCCCTGAACCTCATGCTATATTATTCCATATTTTAAGCATACCATAAAATGATGAACTAAGATCCAGCCCAATTGGACCCATAGACAATTGATTAAAAAAAAAACCTCTATGACCAAAATTTAATAGTGATAGATGAAATTCTATACATGTAGTCATACAGAAAAGTTAACTAATTTAGTCTAGAAATTGAACCATAAATAGAACAGTGGTTGTTGTATTGTGTGGTTCAGAAAATAACCACAACCATGTGAAAAGAACAGTTTACATGGTTCAAAAAGTTATTGCCATTTCCAAAAAAAAGTGGTGTGGTTCTAGAACATAACCATCCTTTTTTTGAACCACAAACCAGACACCACCTTAGTCTTTAAATTCATGGCCTATGGTTAAAGCCTGTTCAAGTAAAAGTAAGTTCATTGTTCAAAAATCCCTAAGGGAAACATTGTAAATGATTTTTCTTTTTAAGAAGTAAGATATTAAATTAAGAAAACAACAAAATACGGTGATGTTTGACAACATGGTTGGTTTTGCTTTTGAAAACAAAAAACAACTGCTACATCAGCAAAATTAATAGAACTTGATCTTTCCCTGCACAGCATATGTAGAGTGCATCAATTATTATTCCCCTTCTCACAAGCTTGTTGGCAGGTAGGTATCATTCTAGAAGAAATGTTCTTAGAAGATATTTATAATTTTTCTTTTTCTTTTTTGTAGGAAACTTGTTAGGCAAGCTAAGTTTCTTTTTCTAGCCTTGCTTATAAATTGTGATGTATACTATTCTAACAAAGTAATGGAAACTTGCCAAATTTGTTCTGCAATATGTTTTCTTGGAAAAGAGAGATACTTCTTCCTCCTGGTGGTGAGGCTCCACCTTTCCCCTTTCCCCCTCTTGGTTGGTGACTGGTGAGACTCTAACAGAAGATTGAAAGGTAGCAGTGATAATAAAAGTTTAAAAGTTATCCTTCTCTCTTTTTCCTTTCTTCGTTTCTTCTTTATTTTGTTTCCTTTTTGTGCAGAGCACCATTAAAACACCTTCAAAGCTCTTGCAAGTCCAATAACTTGAGTAGAAAGTCACCTTGGAGTGTGCAGCTATGCAAACACCCTTGCTTTGGGTTCTATAGCAGTATAGCTGCAACATTATAGGTAGGGGTGCAAATGGATCGGATCATGATCCAATCCGATCCGAAGTCCGACCCTATTTTGTCAGATTCAGATATCCTCATTTCGGATCTTCGGATCGGACAATAGGATCCTATCAAAAATTGGATCAACATATATATGTTATTTATTTATTTATTTATAAATATATTATTTATATTGCATTTTTGTAATTTATTATATTATTTATTTTTTTATAAAAACATGTATATATATATGATGATGAAAATAGTTGAAAAGGTACTTGTATTTTCTGTTTTTCTTTATTTAAATTGTTATATTTTATTTTTCTTTTAATAATTTATTAATTTAAAAAAATTAAATCAGATCCAAATATCCGACTTCCTCATTGGATTTGAATTCAAATCCATGTTTATGAGATCCGATCGGATCTGCTCTTAATAATATCGAATTGGATTTGGATATACCCTTATCTGGATCCGATTCAATCTGTTTGCATCCCTAATTATTTCTTGGCAAGAGTGGATTGGAAGGAGTGAGTTGTAGTGGGGTTATTAGATATTGGGATAGTTTGTGATCATCAATAGCTGTTATATGTCTTCCTTTTCTACATTTTTTTTTCTTTTTGGTTAAGACTTCTCTTTAAATGGTAAGCCTTTGGTTATATGTCATTCATTTATTTTCAATAAAAATTTGCATTACCAGTCAAAAGAAAAAGAAAATAAGACATAGTAAAAACAAACTCCAGTAAAATGGTAAGGTAGAAAAGAAAAATATTTATTCATTCAGATTTCAGATTAAGTAAACATGTACAAGTATGATAATTGTACAATAAGTCACTATACAAAGTATATCCATTCAGCACCAGTTCTGCCTGAATTACAAAACAGAGTGGCAGGGTCAAAATAACTATGAATGACACCCTATTATATAGTCTTTATCAAAAAATAATAATAATTATAATTATAACCACCTATCATATAGTATGATGGCTTCATGGGGCTACACAATGGGAGGTAGCCTGTCCCCCAAGATCCATAACCCCCCTCCCCCAAACCCTGGTGAAGGTGGGATTCAGTCCCAAGTCTCCACTAACCAGCCAGAGACCTTACAGCCAGTTGGCCAATTCTAGTATGATGAAATGTACTCCAAATCCAATTTGAGTTGGTTCTTCTATCAAAATTTGATGCACATAAAGTTCCTATTACAAAGAGTGAAACTGCATTCTAGTAATGAGATGGAACCGCCATCCCATTTAAATTGATTGTCTAACCACATTTCAATTGTATCATGTATGATGTATCTGACTAGGATATTCTCCTTTTACAAAAAGAAACATCCTCCAAATGATCCTCATTAAATGAGTTTTCAACATGTTCTTTACATTTTTTAGTTGTGAAGTGCCAATTCCAAGAAAAACAGAAACTGATGTGAGCCAGCTAATGCTTCAAAAATTGAAAGATCAAGTGTGATAGTCATTCAGCTACCACAAATAGAAATTCATGTTTTTTGACGACTTCTGTCATTTAGCACAAAGAGAATACTATGACAAATGACTGAACCATTCAAATGGTAGAATGAGCATGCAGGAGATGTTGTTCAAAAGAAAACTAAAGAGCTAACAGGTAATCAACCAGTGGAAATCAATGCATTCTGTGAAATAACAAACCTGCAAAGAAAGGAACCTGGACCTGCAGCTTTCCAACTTTGAGCATAGTTCAGCTAATGCTAGCAATATTCCGTGGAAACGTTTTGCCTGTACTGGACCTTTGTGCAACAAGTTGCAAAGTTTATCAACAGTATCAACCTCAAATGCTAGTTTCTGTACATCTTCCTTGTCTGCAATCAGAGATGCCAAAGCAAATGGTGCTTCCTCACCAACCTGACCAGGCTCTTCAAGAAGTTCAACTAATATCAATATCAATTTGGTTTTTATTCCTACACCTTGAAAATGACAAGGAGAAGCATTCCCTATAATAATCAAGCAGACACAGGCAAGAAGTCTTGTCCGAGGACTTCTTTCCTTTGTAAAATCAGTAATAATACTCAAAGCTCTTCCATTATCAAGTGCTACAAACTTTGAGATGACATCCAAATTGTTTTTGAGAACTGTGGCTAGGGAATCTAAACTAGCATCCCTTTGATTTAGAGAACCTTCAAGCAGACTGACAAGCCTACGTAATACCCCAGCATCACACAACAACTTTTGCTCATCACTTGTCTCACAAGAGTGTGTTATGATGCTTGCACCAAGTTCTGTAACATTTTCATTCTCATTGTTCAGAAGTGAAAGAAGGAACTCCAACTTTTTCTCTTCAAGAAAATGATATTTTGGAGCCAGTTTTGATTGAAAAATCATTCTTAGAGAGCGGGCACCAGCATCCACCACCTGATAGAACATTAATAAAAAAAAGTACAAAGTGACTTTGGGCAATTCAAATAGGTAGAAGGAAATTAATTCAATTAAGTACCAAATATGTAGCATAGTAATAATATTACAATAAGGAACCTGCCTTGTGATTTTCGTCAACAAGGTGGGTGCATTTTTTTATACAAGCCTGGGTATTCAGGCAAGGGGTCCAACCAAGGGCACCTGTACTTTGAAATTTATTATGCTAAGATTCTTCTTTTTTGTTGTTGAGGGAGGGGAGGATTAATAAGAGATTGAGAGATTTAAATATTAAGACAAATTAGGGGAGCAATAAATAGCTTTTAATGCACAAAGAGGAACCAGATGCCCCTTTTTCAGTCAAAACATCATCTCTATCATTGACCCTATGCAACATATAGACATGTCATGGATCAAATCTATAATAATTTGTATTTCTCCATGGCACCTCCATCTTACTGACTATTGAGGCCTATGGAATGAAATTCTTGGAGATGCTTTCTACTAGTGGAGAAGTAGAGAAATAGGCTGAGTTAAGCTCCATGCTAATACTTTATTTAGAGTCACTGCACATGATAAGACCATATGAGCATTCTTGAATTGGAATAAACTTGTTCAGATTCAAATAGTTCTGAAATTCTTGATTTCCATTTTGCATGAGCAACCTTCAAGGTATTGGTGTCCAATAGTTCTGACACCAATTACCTTGTCTTTTGCTACCAAAATTTAATGCTAAGTCCACCATGTTAAGCTTATCTTGTATTGATGGATTCAAGTCTGGATGATGGAGGAGAGTTGGACCAAGTTGTCAAACCATTATAAAAATAAAAAAGAAAAGAAAAGAAAAAAGAAATGATTCCTGGAATTAATGGAATTAACTTAAAGGATATCCAACGCCCACAAATTATAGCTGAGAACTGAAGGAAACCATAAACTAAAACTTCCATCAAGTTCCATTTAGTTGACCTACTAATCTCCTCCAGAATTCCATTCTAATAACATCTTCCCAGGAATCCAAATATCTAAATATACTTGAGTATTCTACATAATAACATCCGCATTTCTTTATAGTTTAAAGGAAAAAAGTAAGGAACGAATTACAAAATCAAACACATTTGCTTCTTCCAATCTCCATTAACCTTCTTTCATTCAATTATAAGTACCTAACTCCAATTCTGAAAATTGCAACTGACCTCCACAATCACTCAGAAGATTAAAAGCTCAATTTCGATGATACAGAAATAGCTACTCATTCGTCTTGTTCGATCGTTTATTCATCAAACAATCAATATGAAGTCTCTTACAACCAAAACTTCATGCATTATTAACGTTCGGTTTCCAATTTAGCGTGGGAGCAACGGTTAGCACAAATAATTGGTCACGCTATGGTTAATTCTCTGAAATTCAAGAGTTCCTCGTTAATTCAACCATTTCATAAAAAAACGAATTTTATGAACAGAGATAAGCTAAGTGAGTTAAAACCACCTTCTCGTCTGGATTGGAGAGGATGCGAAAGAGGTGAGGAAACGCCCCAGCATCGAGAACGGCCTTGACACCGGCGTCAACGCCGCAGGCGAAGCTGCCGATAGCAGCGGCAGATTGAACAAGGAGAGAGGCATCGGAGTCGTCTGCGGTAGCGAGGACTTCGGCGATGGTAGGGACGGCCCCGAGCTTGATGTAAGAGAGCTTTTTGGTTCTGTTGCCGATTATCTGGTTCTTAATCTCTCTTAGGGCTTTTAGCTTCGCATCGCCCTCGCTGAATTTCAAGCGAGCGATCAGGTCTTCCGGCCGATTGGTGGACGCCGACGTAGGCATGCTCGCCGGAATTGAGCCGGAAAAAGGACTCGCGCAGGATCACACGTGTGGTTAGTCGGAGATTAAGATGGTGATGAGAGAACGGTGTGAAAGACAGCGAGTTCCCTTGCGAGAAGTTGATTTTTGTTATTTCAGTTTTAATTGTTGGGTTAATTACAGACTTCCACCATCTACATCAGGGGTAGATTGGGTAGTAACACTTACCCCGCGTACGGATGTCAACGGGTCGGGTTAATGTTACAAGCTCTCACCGTTTGGTCTGAATGGATAGCCCGCTGTAATTTAAAAAGTTAAAAAAAAAAAAAAAAAAAATTAAATCTCTTAAACTATCGCTATTGTTTGCGAAATTGATATTTTTACTGGTTGATTATTATCTAATGCTATTTCTATTATTTTTAACAATTGACCAACTCTACCTCTATTATTAGCATCATCCGTTAATGCTTCATCATGATTTATACACATGTAACCCTATGTGATTTATAAGTTTGTTTCAAAACCCAATATTACTGTCATCCCCTAAGTCTCCACACTCTCTCTCTTAAGCCCCCCCCTTTGCCTCTTGTATATATCTCTCTCCTTTCCTCTCCTTCTCTCTGTAATTCCGCTCTAATCAAAGTTCTACTTCAAAGATAGAAACCAAAAATTTTCTCCCAAATAAACAGAAAAGAAATCCAAAGCAAAACAAGAATAAACCCTACAAATCCCAACTCTCCTGGAAGATTCCCGGTTAAGAATCTGGAACAAGATGAGAGATCAGTGGCCTAACAAGCCCTGCATCTGGAGGTTATTAGAATATTTTGCAGAAGATGTAATTTAATGATATTACACTTTGATTCGATGGAGGGCTCAAAAAGAAGAAAAGAAAAAGGAAAGGAACGAACAACCGAAGCCCTACAATCGCAGGAGGCGAGCGTGAGAGAAAATTTGTTCAGAGGAGGATAGCCCTGTGCAAAAACATTGTCTTTTCAAGTCATAGGCGAATCAGCGTATCTGCATACATCATCAGCACCAATCATGATCATGTCTGCTCCGGCTTCCAAGCATCTCTCTGCCCTTCTGATCAGCAAGTCACATCCTCAACAATTTCATATGTTCGAGGAACTGGAGCTATATATGCCCTATATGCTCTATCACCAGCTACTGGGATGTCAGACTTGTTGAACTTCATTGCAAATTGAGGTTTTGCTTTCAATCCACCACTTTGAATCAGGCGCACAAATCTCAAGAGAGTTTCTTTAGAAAGGCTAAGTATCCCTGCATTTAGCTCAATTGTGTCAAACCCCAGATTTTTGCATTCCTCCACATATTGTTTGAAAGCAGATGGTCCTCCACGAATCAAATGTTCAGCCCAGTCTTCTGTACCAACCTCCAGCAAACTTCGACCCATCAACAAAATCTCCCATACATTCAAAAATATCTGAAGAACATTTTGGCTCAAAAGAATGTAATGAAATCCTGTCTCCGTGATGCTATACCTCCCATTGCTGGAAGGAAATCCTGTCTCCAACGCCAGCGGTGGCGTCCGTATTTTGGACCCCTGTCTCCGTCTATAACCTCTTCCTCATTAGTCATTACATAGTTATCAACGAAGTGATTGGTAAGGCAAAGAGAACAAAGTTGAGCCTCCAGATGTCGGTCTCTTTTCATGGTCGACTGTCCATCGATGGGGTTTTATTTTGAAATTTGAAGGATAGTGAAGGACAAATTTTATATTTCATTTCGTAAATATTTAATCACTATGTCAATTTTTAGAAACAGTAAGAATATTTTAAGACAATATGTAAATAGTTAGTTAATAGTTAATTTCACAAGTTCAACTGCTCGGGTCAATAGGTTACTGACCAAATCAAAGGTGAAACAGAACTGATTGCCTACACCGTTTAATTTTCCACAATTTGAAAACCATGTAACTATGGCTTAGGACAAATTTTTTAAATTACCCCTAACTTTTAAAAAATTGACTTATTTACTCTTATTGTTTGAAAATTAACTTAAAACATTCTTAATTTTTTTACAATCGATTAAATTCTTTTACCGTTAACATCTATGAAAAAGACCATTTTATCTATCATTATTCATTAATTTTTTAAAATAAAACATTTGAATAAAAAATTATTTTATTTGTTGTATCTTCCTAATCTATTTAATGCTAGCCAAATGTAAATTTAGCACTAACTACTGAAAATAAACATTACCTACGCATAGTTTATGCAAATCGCCATTACATTTGGGAAATCCATAGTGAAGAATAATAGAGGGCAATTAGTGAAGAAGTCCCTACAGTTGCCGTTCTTGTCCACTTCAAACAATGATGGAGGGACAATAGGGAGAGAGAAGCGGAAATCTCTTCGTCGACGTCGGTCATAGAAGAAAGAGAAGAGAAGCTCAATTTTTATTTCCTTCTTCTTCTTCCTAGAAGAAAGAGAAGAGAAGCGGAAATCTCTTTGTCCCTCATTCTATAGCAAAATCCTTCTTTCAAAAACCCCTATATTTTCGATCAGATTAGGGTTTCGAAAGTCTTCATCATCAAAATCTCGCCCGATCAGAATCTTTCGTGGTTGTGAAGCTTTCTTTTATATTTTTAAGGAGACACAATCTTTTAGGCCGTGAAGGTTTCTTTTCAGAACTTTCAAGGAGAAGAATGAAGGAGGATAGAGGATTGATAATTCCCCTGGCCACCCGTCTTCTCATGTTTTGTATATCAGCGAAAACAAAAAGTTCAAATTTCTGGGTATTTTGCAAAGACCCTAACATAATTTAATACCAACAATGGTGGAGGTTTCTCTGTCCCATAGTGTGCTGAAATAACAGAGCAAAAAATGGTGAGCTCTGTATTGTAATCTGCAAAGAATGGTGAACTTTGTATTGAAATACGGAGCAGGAGGCAAGAGAGAAGATGGAGTCAGAGAGGAAGACACGGAATCGAAGACGGAGTCAAGAGACAAGAAACGAAGGCGGGGTTGGAGGTGAAGACGGAGACCGAGATGGAGGCGAAGATGAGTGCAAACATAAAGATAAGGGTATTTTAAGAAATTTAGAAAATATATAGTCACGTGATGTCATGTGAACGTGAATGGGTGTTTTTACACAATTGTCGAAAATTAAGAGATATTTTAAAATAATATGTAATCAGTAATGATAGAATTAATCAATTAACTAAACTACAAGAATAATTTAAAAAATTTGCCCTATTGTTTAATGATGGACTTATGGTAATTACAAACCGACCAAAGTTCAAAAATTGGGAAATATGTAATCCACCAATATGAAGCAATATGTTGCAAATTTTAGAACATTGGTTATAATGACCTAATGGGCCAAGTAAACAAAATCCAAACTTAACTCAGACTAAATGATGAAAACCTTAACCCAACCCTATGGTCGGGCCAAGCTGGGTTTGTAGTTTCATCCAACCCACTAAACTTTCATTTGACAAAATCCATCCTAAACTTTCAAAATCCATCACTTTGCATCAACCATTAGCATTTCATCAATTAGTTTACTCCAAAAAAACATTTGATCAATAATTAATTAATATATATATATATATAATTTTATTATATTATTTCATTTTATTATTACATATATAAACAATTATATACATCCAAATTCATGTAAAATATTTTAAGATTTTTTTATATTTTTTAATTTATGTTAAAATTTTCGTTATTTTTTCAAAAAATTTTAAAAAACATGACTTGACCATGTCTACAGCCCAACTCGCCCCAAGGCTTAGCCTGTGGCACGGGCCTACACGGGTTCGGGCTCGAGCCGTGGGCCATATTGGGCCGACCCACCAAAATATCCTAGGGGAGGGAAGCACGGCTCATGGGCCAACACAGCACGACCTGCACTTTTCATGAGCCGCATGCGGGTCGTGTCGTGCCGACCTAGCATGGCCCGATTTACACATGTAGGTGATTTGTTGGAAAAATATGTGAATAGAAATAATGTAGGTTTTTGGACACTTGGAACTAATAGAGTTCAAAGTGTTTTTGCTCTTCATTTTCGACCATATTCACTCTTTTGCCTTTCATCTCAATAAATTTGAACAACAATATATGCCAAAATTGTACTCAATATCATCTTTATCATAACTGTAAAGTTCTATTATCTCTTTCACTCTTTTAAGTTATGAAAATGCATTAGGAGTTTTGGTTTCACATCATGCTTTAGTTTAAAATTGAGTTTCTTTGATAATTATTTATGTTTAATTAATTTTAAGCAATTAGGGTTTTGGTTTAATAAGTTTTGATTTATAAGCTTCAAGCACTTTTCATCTTTGGGTTTAATTCGATGTTCAATCATGTGTCTTTAATAGGCTTACATTTGCCCAAATCAAGTTTGTATTTGTAATGTCTAAGCCTTTTTTCTGGTGTTTTGTAATTTGTAAGTTCTCACACACCTAATTCTTTTAACCATCAACAAAAAATACCATAAAAATACCAAAACTTAATGCTTGTTCTACATGAATATCCAAGTTGCTTGCTTTCAACATCTTGCTAAGAGCAAAACCCTCGTGCTGGTTTGCTTTTGGCAACCTCTAGGTTTGGTTTCAACATCCTGCACTAGAAAGTTGAGAGCAAACTCTCTGCTGCCAGGCTCTTTAGTTGAATTGAATCTATGTCACTTCGTTCCAACTAGGATTAGTCCTTGCATTTTAATTTATGACTGGCACAAAGCATTGTGGTTGGTTCCACAGCCCTCTAAACCATTGTACTAATGTTGTAATATGGAGTTTTTTTGCGTATTTATATACACACACATTACATTATATGTCAAATGAAATCCTTGATCATGTTTTAAGTCAGTTTTGTTTTTTTTTTAACATTACCACTCACACTCAACTAGGATAAAGTAATTGAAGTATGATTTCATTTTGGGACAATCAAACAGATTGGCACTAACACAAGCAGTTAAGAATCAAATAAGTAGCTACACCCAACTTGATTAAGATCTATATCTGGTTGTGGTATCATTCCTTGGTTCAAATATCCCATGCATCGCACGGGCCATTCTACTAGTCGATGATAAAAGACCTAATCTTAGATAACAGAATAGTAGATTGTCATTAGAGATCCTCATGAACCCATTTTGAGACCAAAATATATAGCAACACAAGCATTTA